TTCAAAGACTAATAAGACTCTCTCCTGGAAAAGTGGGACCAAATTGGGGAACAGTGAGAGGTAAGACTGGCTACAAAGTGGGGCCAGAGTATGAAAAACTTTGAATTCTGTGACAGTAGAAGCTCCCTGGAATATCTGATGAGAGAGATATGATAAGATGGGGCTAAAACTGCCTGGTTGGAAGGAGAATAACCCAGGCCAGGCTGACCAGTTACAAACCAATGTAGGAAGCCAGTGGTGAGGCCATGAGCAGCAGCAAAAGGAATGAGCATCTCCCTTCTTCAAAAAAGGGTTACAATGAAAGAGAAGAGCTCAGGCTTGATCTTGGTTCCCGGTCTTGTAATGGTGTGAGCAGGGCTGAGTTTGAGGTCACAGTTGGGCACCAAGTGAAATCATCTTGTTAACAGTTGGGGGGATACACTTAAGCCAAATCTGGGAATAATGCAATTGGAAGTGGACTTCCAATTCTACAGAATTTCTGCCAGCAAGCAGCACAATTTCTATTATTTCTGTAGTCTCTCGGTCACGTGATTGAATTTTCTGGATGCTACTTATAGGATCACTCTCATTCCAGAAGCTTCTTTGACAGATCCAATTATAACATATAAGCAAAATGGTGCCAACTATGTGCTTAGTGACCTAAAGGAAACATTGCAATTTTCAAAGAAACTAATGTCCATTCCAGGAAAACATGGCTCATTGGTGTATTTATTACCGTGTGCAGGTAGCATGACCTGTTACTTATTTAATATGAAGAAAAACATCCAGTCCCAGCACACCTATGTGCCTACATAGATCCCCAAATTCTAAATCTATGTGGTCTCAGACTTCAGTACCTGTTAATCTAAGGTTTTTATTTAAAATGACGATTCGCTGGTTCTGTTAGAGCCCTAAAATCTGCACTATTAACAAGTCCCCCAGGTGATTGTATTGTAGAAAAATATTCTCTGGAAAAGTATCCTCTTAACTCCTAGATGTCAGTTAAGCTCTCTCAACCAGCGTGCCTGGCCCATTTTAGGTGTTCAATAAGTTGTGTTGTATTGAATCAATGTGTTGCCAGCCCTTACAGCCTTAAGGCACATATTGTAACTTCTTGTATTCATAAAAATAGCAAACCTTCCAAGGAAAAGCCATCATTTTAACTATCCCAGATAAAAGAACAGCGAGTTGCTACAGATAGGAACTTGACTTGATGTCAGCCAAGCCTGGGACTTATCTCTACATTCTGGACAAGTCATTGGCCCCAACCCCAAAAAAATTATCTTTCTTCATTTTTTCCACTTAACCACACTAGCACACTACATACAAAGGTGGGCAAAAGTAGGTTTACAGTTGTTCATATGGAAAATAATGCAATAATTACATAATAATACAAAAATAAACTGTTTTGCATACTCACAACTGTAAACCTACTTTTGCTCCACATTGTATGTATCCTTGGGGAGGGGGGGGTTAAAGATGAAGAAAAACTACTTATCTCATAAAAACCAATGTAAATATGAATTGTACTGTACCCATTTCTTTTAATTTACTACACATGGGATCTCTAGGTCATAATAACCTCCTCCCTATATGATTCTGGGCCTTACATACTGAGCTAAGACCTGAAGATAGTTTCTGACTCCTGCTGATCTTTTGATCTTTGCTGGTCCTTTAATACTATTGTAACATATTTATTGATTTATTGACTGAATTACTTTTAAGATGAAAATCTGGCAATTTAAATTAAATGATATGTGACTTATTATAAGTGACTTTCAGTACAATGTTTTTTAATACAGAAAACATCAAAGACTTCAAAAATAAATACCACTGAGAAATTTATAAAAATTTCATATGAAGCCTTTGCTTCGAAGTTAGTTAATATAAATAAAACAATTTATAAATGATTTTTCATATTTTGTTCTAGGCTTCAAAGTATATTTTCTTTTAAAGATGTTTAATTAACTCTTTGCTTACTTGTTTTTTTCCTTTTTCCTACCAAAGCATTTTAAGTAGAAATAGTTGTCTGTAAGTCTCTAAACATATTTTAAAACTTCCAAAACTGATTATTTAAATCATTTTATACAGGATTTTATTGAGTCCAATTTAATTTGCAGAGTAACTAACAAAAGAACAATGTTAGATAGGTCTTTTAGAAGTGTAACTAATACCCAGGTATTCTCTTATACCACTGGATAATAACTTTTTAAAATACTGAATAATGTATATAAACACTAGGGGATATAAATTCATCTAAATTGCGCATCCTATATATATCCCAACATTGGTGCCCATTTATAAGCTTAATATGTTCTCAGGCATCTTCTCTGAGTGGCTGCTTTGTATTTTTAGTTGAATCCAATAACCCATCAAGCAGATATTAAAGTACATTTATAAAAATACATGGATGCTTAGATAGATGTATATTCCAGACATGAAAATCCTTACGGGTGGTAAAGAAAATAATAATACTTTAAGAGATTTTAAAGTGGTTATTTCCTGATCTCTTTTTTCTCCAAACATTAGACGAAGCTGCATTGTTTACAAAAATTTATTCATACAAATTTTACACACTTTATATAACAGTTATCAAAGTCCTAGTTATAGATATCATGTGTGTAATAATACTTGGTTAAGATGTTTTTTTATAATCATTTGCACACAAAATAAGAGCTTCAAGACTAACATCTACCTAAATTATCACTATATATCATAAATCTGCTCCAGGTTAGTAAGGCTGTTGGCATTTCTAAAAAGTATACAAAAGATTAAACTGGATGATCACTGTAAATGCTTGCAACTAGCCACAAAAACACTAAATTAGACTTCATAAATAAAAGGTTAACTAGAGCCCTATTTCATCACTAACAGCTGACACAAATACAGAAAACTCTGCCCAATATCCAAGAAACAAATAATTAAGACTAAAATGCAAGCCGATGTGTTGCAGCATTGTAGGGCCACTAAATAGCCATCTGTGATTCGTGGCGATTTAAAAGGCGAAGAAAGGCACTACAGCTGCAAACTGTGTCCCCATGTCACATTGCCTGAGGAGACTGCAGAATTAAAGAAAGATTGATCCCGGTACACAGGACTGAGGCATAGATCGAATGCCTCTGTGCTTTCACTGTTTGCAATGTGATCTCCTGGCAGCATCCATCCCGCCTGGGAATGCAAATCCAATTCTGTTTTCTTTGATTTATGACTTCATACTGACAAAATCCGTAAAGAAAAAGGAAAGGTCCTTTAAACTTTACAAGCTAATGTTTAATCTTTTCTGGTTCTTTTTTTTCCCCCCCAAAAGAATTTGTGTCTGAAATTTGGGAGTTTGGCTGGTTTGCGTGTTGTTGCTTGATCTGGTTTTTGGGTGCAGGTTCTTTTGTTTGTAGAGATTACTCAGTATGTTCAAGAAATTGATAGGAAACAGACAAACATGCTTTCTGTAGCCAAGAAAGGATACAAAGGGAAGTTCTCAGGGTCTATTGGAGCTTGCTTACCTTACTCTTGACCACAAATATAAGATAGTACTCATACATAAGATGAGGTTTAAATGATTTATCAGTTAGTAAAACTGAGCAACATGTGAACACTACACATTCTGATATGACAAAGATTGGTTTTATGAAATAAATTTTACTAAGCAATAAGCCATAATGTAGAAAAATACATTTTACCTACAAACTCAATAAACAAGAAACAAAAGATTCATATTTAGTGCATAATTACTTAGTGATAACTACATAGGGTTTCCTAAACTTTACAATAAGTGCTTGCATCAAACAACAAAAAAGTAAGACACAGTCACAAGTTTAAGAGAAGTGAATGGAAAATGGTAAATGAACTTAAACAGTGCAAGAGGGTAGGAAGGAGGAGTCTTCAGAAAAACCACAAAAGTAAAGGGTGGCTCCTACAGAGCAGGGTTCCAAGGGGAGTGTCCTGGCCATTTCACAAGATGAGAAGCATGGACAGCACTGGAGAAAAACACATTGTACTTTGCATTCGTTTCCAACACCCAGCACCCAGTCTGTCAGGCTGGGAACCTAAGGTGGGGACTCAGCTTCACCCCAGCATCCCAGAGCTGGGGCTGCCCTAGAACAGTCCCTCTCCAGAGTCCTCCTCCTACTGTGCTATGCTCTGCCCCGTCCAGTATACCTACATTTCTTCCACTTTGTTCCAATTGTCCTAACCTTGGGATATTGGGTTTCCTGGAAGTACAGAAAAGGGAGCTTCCTACCCAAGTCTCCCTCCTCTGCACAATCTCCCAACTCTTACCCCAGGGAGTAGTATGAACTCTGGGGAGAAGCACAATTTAGATAGAGCTGTTGTTTTATCGGGAGAATTTCCTTCTGGGCTAAGAGTCTGAAAAGAGACAAATACACATAAAAAGAGAATCAAAGAAAGCAAAAGTATTAGAATTGTCACCCAGCAAGGGGAACAGTGCCTAGTTGAGTTGGGCTGGGATTGAAGCAGCCTGCCCCAGAGACTCACTGCGAAAAGAATGTCCTATAGCAATTCGTCCAAATCATTACCTCAAAATCTCCCTGGAGCAGGGCATCATTGTTTATGTACAGTAGCAAATGGTCAGTATTAATATCTTCAGGCCTGTTGTGGATAAAAATACTATCCTTTTAATTCCAGTTTACAAAAATAGGAGTAATATTCAAAACAATGATTGTCTATTTTTCTATTTTATATAAATACATAGACAGCTCAGGTAAATTTTCAATCCTTGTGCACACTTTGTATGAACTGCTCTCTATTATACTTATATATATTCTTAAATATATATATTTATAATATATATCAATAATTGGTCCACAAAGTATATCTGTGCATTCTCTAGTGCTTTGTAAAAAGAAAACCAATATTATTATCAAAATATTCATTTAATGGCTTCACTTCATACATAAATACATGTTTGGATAGAACACATGAGCGATGACTGTTCAGTTTGTTGGGAAAATGACTTTTCATTGTGTCAAGGTTGTATACACGGTGGCGTAGCTGGTAACTCATCGCTACAAATACGCTATTCGGCGTCCTTTGTTTTTAACCCTTTGTTTATACCTTTTCCCTAGGACGGCAGCCAAGTATTTCTTGACAGCCATTTGTTTCCGGTAGCGACTGTAGCTGTCCGTGAAGATTCCGTCCGAGTGGCGCTTGGAGAGCGGATCTGAGTCGTCTTTGGTGTCTCTGCCTCGAATCCCACTGCAAGGACAGGGTCGGGAAGAGGATGGCGGGGCGGGAGACACAGGTTCAATAGCTGCGGGGGAGCAGGCGGGCCCCAGCCCGGGCAGGAGCCTGCAAAAAGGGCAAGGGCTCTCCCTGCCCTCCGCACCGCCTTCCCTCCCAGTACGAGCCGCAAGGAGAGCTGCGAGGGAAACCTTTCATTCCTCCCTCCCCACCGAGGATTTCCTGGCACCCAGTCCTTGCAGGAGGGGCCCGGTCTGAGGTCCTCGCCAAATGCCCACAATTGAAGCCTAACCTCTGTCCATGAGATACGATTATCCAGTCCGTGCATTTTCCCTGAATTGTCCTAACAGAAAATAACGAAAAAGCACTAAATGCCACGTCGGCTATTGCCATGGAGTTTACATGGATCCTCAATTTCTACCTAGTCAGACATAAGCACTCTCCTTCTGCATGCTAAATTGAAAAACGTGATAATAATACAAGTCGACAGACTGTAGGCAATATCTTTCAATACATGAATTATTCATTACGAAAAATGTAATCTGTTTCCCCATGGGCTTTATTAAAATGCCGCCTTCTGCTGAGAGATGCTACACACCAGCCCTTTGCTCTGGCTATGTCTGGCAAGAGCAAAAACTGTTTGTTTTCCTAAATGTCCAAATTTGAGGGTGTGTTGGTTTCAAGTTCAGTTTACAGTAAAATAAAAAATTTTTAAGTCAAGCTTAGAGAAAGTTACAGCACATCATCCCGCGAAGCTTGAAGGTTTTGAATGACTGCGGGGGCTACTTGGTCTATTTTTTTTTTCTTTTTCTTTTCTTTTCTTTAATTCAAAACAGATCAAACCACCTGGTTTTCCTGCTCTTTTTTTTCTCTCTCTCTCGAACCTGAGCTCTCTCCCCAAACTTCAAGTGCCACCTCGGCATCTTCACGGGTGGCCGGGAACTCGCCCCGCACGCTCCACACACCCTGCCGCGCAGATTCACCCTCGGTTGGCCCCACGTGCACGCAGAACGTAGGACCGCACCGCCCACGCCGCGCGCTGGGAACACAGACCCACCCCGGCGCACGCGCACCATCACGCGCCCGTTAACTCTTTCGCAAACTCTTACCCCACGCCCTTGGCCACGAGCTTCTGCAGTAATTTCTTGCGGGAGAGCTGGTCCAGCACTTTGCTGTAGGCCTTGTTAAGGATCACATGAGCGACATCTCTAACCGGGAGGCAAAGTGCCCAGGATCACTGCCTCGGTCCCCTAGTGGCTGCCCAGGTCCCCCGCTGGGCACGCTCCCCACCCCCCACCTTGGCGCTTCGGGAGGCTGACGGGATACCCTCAGAAGCCCAGAACTCCTGAATAACTCTTTTGGGATGTTCCCGTGAGTGACTGCCAGGAACGGAAGTTCTTCCTGCCCTCTTGGGTGGTAGGTGTGGAGTTTCGACTCTCCACCGGCTGGGCGCGCACATTTACTGCCGTCCCTTGACTACAGACCTTTCGGTCACCGGGCGGCCCTCCCGTTCACATAGACCTGCCCGCAGCTAATTTGCTGTTGCAGTCGTGGGGACCAGGAAGAAGAGAGCCTTGAAGGCTTCTATGAAAAAGAACCTACGGGGTGGGCCAACACACTGCCCCTCCCACCACCTCAGTCCCGAGGCGCGGTTAGTACCTTATCTCCCCCGGGTGGTTGAGCGCTTCGCCTTCCCGGGGCGCAGAAGCTGGGTTCTCCACGCCCGGCGGCTCCAAATCATAGAAGTTCTGCAGCTGGTTTCCGTCCTCGTCGTACGCTTCGTCGTACGCTTCGTCGTAGGCTTCGTTCTCCAACCTGCAGGGGTAGCGGGGGACGGAAGCAGTGGTCAGTAGAAGTGCGTCCTAGGCTCTGCGGCGTTCCCCCCAAAATGGGCTCGCTCTGATTTTTCTTCCTCCCAAATGTCTCCCACGGATCTCTTCTTCCCGGACCGGGTAGGGGTAGGGGTAGGGGTAGGGGTAAGAAGGAAACTGCATCCAAATGAAATTTCCACCCCGCTAGGCGGCTCTCCCAGGCCTCCTTTCGCGGGTGAAGGGTCGTCTAGCAGGGCCGCAGCCTGAACGAGCACTGGGAGGCCGAGGCATCTCCGCAGACGGCGCACACCTGGCCTCCGAAAAGGACCTCCCTGCTGCCGGCCTGGCGCCCTACAAGCAGCAGCAGGCGGGGACGAGAAAGGCACTAGGAGAGGAGGCGCTGGCCAACGTGAAGACCCGATGGGGGAGGCCAGCAGCGTAACAGAAAGGGTGGATGGATGGGGTGTACAGCTGCCAACTCCGGCAACCACCCCCACCTAGCTTCTGAGCCCAGGGGAGCCCTTCCCCGCGCAGATGTAGGTCACGGAGAACCTCCAGCTTCTATTTTAGGCCGGAGAGGATCAGGCAAGAACACATATAATAACAAATGCCTCTAAACTTAGTAAGTTTGGCGGCAGCTCATTCTGTGGCGTATCCGTGCCCTCCGTTGGCTCTCGCCCAGGGAAAGGGCCTTTGAAAATAGCTGGGGATGAAATGGGGCTTTTAAGTACACCAAATAAATAGTTCTCGATAATCTGTTAGGGCTGGTGGGGCGATGGGACCGCATCTCAAATTTGAGTATCCGAAAAATAGTCAACAGGGACCGAGAGCCATCAAGAGCTCAGGGGCCTCGCAGTCGCCCTTGCCTGTCGCCTCTAGCCTGGATATAGGGCGGGGAGAGGTGGGTAAAACAAAAACTCCTTGCTTTGGGCCGCAGGAGAGACTCGGAAAGTGGCGGGGGGCAAGTCACACTCTAGGGGGGATTAGAGTCACAATTCGTTACCCATTTCGCCTTTCCTTCCTCGGTGGAGAGGTAAGGGCAAGGCAGGCACATCCCTCCGCCTCCTCACACCCAGCCTTTTTCCCCAGGCGCCGCAGCTCTGCCCTTACCCGCTGGCCAGATCCCCCGGGTCCTGCTGGCCATCTCCACCCTCCCAGTACCCAGATGCTGGCGTCCTACTACTAAAACCAGAACCTAGCTCTCGGGCCAAATCAACGGTCAGCGGCCCCGAAGGTGCGTTTTGAGGGCACGGCTCGGAGAAGCAGTTTTGCTTCAGGCGTAACTCGCACTCCTCGCTGCCAGGAGCCGGGTGCACCGCGAGACACGAACGCATCTCTGCAAAGCGAGCTCACACTGTCTGGTTGACCCGTGGGGTCCTCTGGGGCTGAGGTGGGGAACCCGACTGTTTAGAAACCAGGATTAAGAAAAAAGCCTGGGCTGCTCCTTCGGAGGCGGTCAGGGCTGCACTGATCTTGCTTCCCTACTTGCTTTCCCTTCCTTGCATCCGTTGCGCCGGTTTTTTCCCCCTCCCTTGCAGACTCATTCCTGTTTTTCCTTCTCTCAAATCGTTTTTCCTCAACCATACCCAGCCAACACTCCTCCTCCCCAAGACAGCCTGAGACTCAAAATGCAGTTGGAGAACATAACACTTTAGAGAAAGCTCTTCCAGGGTAAAAAAAAAATTGAATTGAGGGTGAGGGAGACCCCTTCACGATCGTGCAGAACAAGCTGCAACAAAGCAAAGTCCCTGGGAGCTTCACGCTCAACCCTCCAGCCTGGCTCTCGGAGCCGAGAATCTCCTAACTCCAGCTGGGAACAGGAAAAAGAAGTCAAGCTCTGGACCATGCCCTGCCCTCCTCCCGCGGGCGGGGCTGGAGGTGGATAGGTTTCTCCAGCCTGAAGAAGCGCTTGTTTCACCCGGGACCTTTGGCTGCCTTGGGCTGGGGGAGGGGCGCCAAGCCGAAGTGGAGTCTGCCCGGTCCTTGGGCTGAGCCGGGGCCAGGAACCCGCCGCTCGACCTCAGCCGGCAGCGGAGGCGCTCTGGAGCGCGTGGGGAGACGGTCGGAGCCGGGACCGAGGAACCGAGGAACCGCGGAACCGCAAGAGGACGATCATGACGAGGTGTCGGGGTAAGAGAAGCCCAGCCTCAATTCATCCAAACAGCCAGCACCTACCTGGTCCCAGGGAACTGGAGTCCGGTGGTGTCAGGTAAGCAGTACACGCTGCTGTGCATTATTATCCCGTAGACCAGCAGGGCCAGCCTTGCTCCGCTACACATGGTCATTCTGTGCAGGATGGGAAAGAGGGCACACAGGCGTCAGAATGCCCCTGGCCTTCCACCCTCCAGTCCTGAGAACTCCCGGAGCTGGGGGAGGGACTGAGCAGAAGGCTCCGGGTGTTGAATACCCCTCAGTGACAGCCCGAGCTCGCCCTGCCACTTCCTTGTCGCTATATATAGTTAGAAAATTATATATATATTATATATATAATATATATATATATTCGCCAGACCTGGTGTGAAGGAAAGCTAACTAGTACCCTCATGCCGGCAAAAGAATCAGCAATCGAGTGAGCCATTTGGTTTGGTGAGACTCCCCCACCCCCTTATCATTCAACTCTTACCGCCTCTCGTAGAGGGTTTGCTGCCAAGTAGGACGGTGACCAAAGGGTTCCTCCAAGTTTCTGCGCTGGAATCACAACCCAAAAGGAATCGCCGTCTGGTGTTAGTGTCTAAGGAGAAGCCGCAGGAACAAACAGGAGCAGCAGGAGGAGCTGGAGGACTTGTTTGCGGAAGCCAAAATTCTGTTCAAAAGTTTGTAGAGGCACAGAACTAGGAAGGAGCGTGATACTGAGAACCAGGCGAGGAGAGAGATGTAGAAGGAAGAAAGGAGGGACAACGAGCTAACGTAGGGGTGGAGGACAAAGTGGCCTAAGTCCACCAGGAAACAGAAGTTAAATGATAAGGAAAAGAGAGAAAGTCAAAGAAGGAGAGGAAGGAAAGAGAGAGGGCCAAGGCGAAGCCGGCATCTGAGGGAGCCGCCCGGTCAGGCAGCTGCGCGAGTCGGCAGCGCCTTCTCTGCTCTGAGGTCCCTCTGGCTGCGTCTGAAGCTGCGGCTTCTTCTTCTACTGCCAGTGGATACAGGGGTGACGGGCCCTCTGTTCCTATTTATATATGCAGTGGGCTGAAATCTATCCGAACATGGTTTTAGAAGAGACTTCTTTGTAACATCTGTCTGCCTATGGCCTTTAAATACAGAATATTTTGTTGCACTGTTGCGCTCATGAAATGACTTCCTTTTTTTTTTTCTTTTTTTTTTTTCAGTCACGCAATGATCGGGTATCAGAAAAAGACGTCAGCATCCTAGTCCCTCAAGGAACATATTAACTATTCTGTGCTGGCCTCTTGGATGATAAGATCCGGAGTCATCCACTTCTCATAAACACCTTTCACTCATACAATCCAATTTTTAAGAAGTTCTATTATTTTGCCGGTTTTCAATTTTTCCCGTTTCTCAAAGATGGGTAGAGAATTCATAGAACTTCAGTCATGGTAAAAGTCATATTTTTAACGACGTCCCTACTATTTCTCTTTACTTTTCATCAAGCCCTAGCAATCAGAGCTCTGGTCTCTGGAATAAGCACCATCAAGCTTTCCTATTAATAAATTTAATTTAGATCTCCTAGTTTCTTGCATATGTTCTTTCAGGCAGACAATTAAATGTGGAAGTCGTTTTATTTTTAAAGGGAAGTCTTGCAGGATTTTCAGTAAATTGCTAATGAGTCTGCTGTCTTGACAGGCTGGCTAGGAGTAGATTGATTAGAGTTAAAGCTGCATCCAGAGCGTGGCTCTGAGTGTTGAACCTGTCTGGTCACAGATGCTATGAACATTAAAAATTGCCCCTGATTCAATTTTTCACCAGAGCCTCTAAATCTGAGGATTTGGCAGTGGTACCATTAATGTGGCAATCCATTGCCCAAGTACCCCACTGTGTTCAGATACACACCCCCTTGCAGTATCCATAAATGCCCTGAAAGCTGAGAATGGTCCAACCCTTTTAGATTTCAGTATAGGGCATTCTATGTCTCCTCTTAGCCCTGGCTTTTGGAGCTCTGGATGATGTATTTGGACACTTTCACACTTTCTGTGGCTCTTACTGATTTGAAGAATTGAAACTGTGAGATTGTGCTTTCCTCAAAAATTCCACATTTAAGAATTTGGGAGTGAGAAATGTTTTTCCCCTCTATATTTACAATTTAAGTTTGTTTAGAGACATGCCTACATACTGGTAAAGCACGAAGATTCCCAGTACAAATTCACTTGCTGAGGGTTTCTAACAGGAATCCCTCTGTTGGGAACCATAAATTTTTTTTTTTAACTGAAAATGATGTGGGAAGAGGAAAGCAATAAGGGAATACCACATCCACCGAGAGGCCCAAGAGGCTTCCGAGTCCTGCGTAATTTAAGATTTGTAAATTTCTGCTCCAGTAAAAGAACTTGGGTCTATTTTTTTCAAAAAGGATATAGAGCCATCAATAACCATTAGTGTGTGCATGTTAATTATTTGGATCTTAAAAATTCAAGGAAATGGCAATTTAGTGGGAGTGTTTCCTGTTACTATGATTTGAATCTAACATTTAAATAAGCTGTATTAGTTCTGCCTGCTTTTCCTAAGACAAAATTATAATGCTGCTCGTTTCAATGCCTTTCTGGCTCTCTTATTTCAGATTTAATTCTTCCTCCAGGAAGACAAAGTTTGCTTATTCTTCCCTAGTATTGGCTAGACACTGCTTACTTCCCCTTAGTTTATTCCTGGGGATGCGCCCAGATTGCTTGCCTGCAGTAATGCCTCAAACCGCACCTACATGGGAATGTATTTCTTTGTCTCCACTGAATATAGACACTGATTTAAGCTGGAGTGTTTACATGTGTGTGTTCCATGTTCAGCTCCGCCTCTAGGGTAAGCCTACACACAAAGAGCCCAAGGTGAACATCCCCTGATAACCAAGCAGACAATATATTTTTTTTACTAAAGCACCCAAAGCTATGACCGACTCTGGCTTTCCTGTCTTCGGCCTTGCTTCACGTCAAAGATAAACTCCATTAAAATCCTTACTCCTACACGAATTCTGAAATGAGTTCAATCTGTAGAAATACTTCAAAATTTCCAAGGTTCCTCGTACAAATTCACTACTCAACTTTAGTAAAGGGAGCCACCATGTGGGGAAGTTTGTTGACTTCATAGCCTATTAAAGGGGGAAAACCACAAACACCATTAACTTAGTGGGGAAGGTGGAACTGCTTGCACTCCACATACCCTCAAGACTGAATTGCACCTTTGGCTTACAAAGTCTGTGCCACTTCCCCTCTTCTCAAGGAAAGCACATTCAGTGCGGAACTCAGGGCCCGCACTTCAAACCTACCGGCCTCGGGAACTGAACCCATTCTGTGAAGTGAGAGACTAAGTAGAGAATTTAATTTAAGACTTTTGGTCACTGAACTCCAGCAAATCTAGCTTTGGAGACTGACCCACTCATTTCTCAGCACGATCGATAAGACCCATCCAGCCCCGATACACAGCTGCTTGGGGGACTCGAATCGGGTAGGATCCTGCTGCAGGCATTTCCTGCCATTGATGGCTTCTGATTAAGCGAGTGTGGTGTCAGTGGGCAAGGAAACTTTCCTATTCTGGCTAGGGGAAGTCGGGAAGGCTGAGAGAAGGAACGAGAAGCTGATGACGGGCCTAGGAGTGGAAGAACTGCAGGAGTCTGGGGCTGTACCCTGGCCTCACCAAAATCCTCGGGAGAGATCGCAGACCCTCTTTACTTTCTATTCAGTGGAGGGGAATAGGGGGCAATCGAAGTCTCAATGACCAAAACTATCCTCAAGTCGAGTGGGAATTTGCTTCTAAGCTGAGGAGCTTTCTAACTCTTATTTAATGTTCACGCTGCTTACGAAGGGCCTTTGTATCGGGGAGCTTTGGGAAGCGTCGGTAAGGAGGGTGTAACAGACTAAATTGCCAGGCTGCAGAGGCCGGAAACACTGAAAAGGGTGCCTGGGGCCCGGCAGATATGAATTGTTCATTATAAATGCAGGGGCCAACCTGGCTGACTGTGAAGGATGGGGCCTGGGCCGGGGAACTGGAGGACTTCAAGTAAGGTGCCCTGTGTGGCTGGAGAAGGGATAAGGAGAGAGTGAGAGGATAACTGGGAGGTGCAGGGGAAGGGGGTACAGCCTACCAATTTTATCCTGTTTTTACCTGACTTGTCTCTCAAAAGGACTTTTACAATCCTCCTAAGGTGACTGAGGTTAAGAGCAGAAGAGAAACCTTCAGGTAGATCTCCTATACGTGACTGAAAATGATATGGGGAAAGGAGGGAGAAGATGAAGGCACCCATGAATTAGAACTTCCTAGTTATAGACAACACAAAGGAACTATCCAACAGCCCCACCTCTTCCCCCAGTGTTTGCCTGACAAGTGGAATTCCCAGGAAGCAAAGTTTCTTTCCAGCCTGTGGAAGCAGAGAATGGCATTTAACTCCAATTATGTTCAGTTAGAAAAGTTAGTGGAACCACAGAAATCTTCAGACTGTAATGTTTCACCCATGTCTTATGTAAGGTAAAGCAGTCTGGTGGAAGGCATCAATCTCCTGCTAAGCACTTACCCAAAAGAAGCTGTTTGGAAGTATTAGTTGGAAATGATAAAGATCCTGAATTCTAGTCTCCTAATCTACCAACTCCTTTTTATCCTTTTTGTCTTGCAGATATGAAAACAGAACATCTGGTCTGAAATGGGAATGCTAGCTAGAAGCCTAGAGTGGTTTTGTTTCTTCCTGGTCACTGACACATCTTTCTTCCTTAAGGTTTCAAGCCTTTCAATCAACACTTGACTTAAAGAACTCTTTAGCCCTTTTTTTTTGTTAAAAAAAAAAAGTGGATTTTTTTTACTCAAACATAAGAATATGTCTAGCATATTCACTGGGAGTTTGCACTTGCAGATGGCTTCACAACATTAGCAAACACCTGGCATAGACAAGAATCAGATCCCTAGTGTAATGAGATTTCTACTACTTTCCTTCTGGCCTAGCTATCTGTTCTACATATAGTTTCCACGTGTTCACTTTTCCCTCCCAAAGTCCATACAGCCACCAACCCCTTCCCCTACCTCCATAAGAAAGAACATCTTGTATGAATATGCACATAGCATATTCATATATTCCTAATATAAATAATATTAGGTTGGGAAAGTCTTATATTCTCTATTATTTTCTAGTTAGTGCATAGCA